GTCAAAAACAACAAAACAAAACAAAAACAAAGTGAGTTTAAGTTTCTTAAAGTAAAAACTCAGCACACTGTTATAAAACTGAAACCTGGTTCTCTATTTAGAACAACGAGGTTTTCATAAGATATTGATCTATTCTTGGTAACATTTATAAGAACTGGTTTAAAGAACAAATATTTCATATTTATCAAGATAATTACTTTTTGTGTTTTCTGTTGTTTACTGGGCTTTTTAACTGTAGGAACTGAGTCTTTAATAAAATCAGGACTTACTTAAAATCATGTTTATTTTGAATGTTACAGAAAGGTTGGAATGAAGGCCCATCACTTCCTCTTCAGGACTGGTGCAAATTTCCTTTATTTTTGGAGAGGGTTCAACCAAAGCTTGAAGGTCAAAGTCAAAGAGGATATGGGGACTAAGAAGACAGCCAGTGTTGTGGCCCTTGCCCTGCAAGATCATCCAGGACCTACGAGATGGCATGACTTCATTATAATGGCCCTAAAACTCAGATGTCACCCATCCTGTTGATCAAAGAGGCCATGGAGTCATCAGGGGTTATATGTCAACTGTGCACATCCTGTAAAGAGGAGAGTCACCGAGGGAGGAAATGTCCCCTATTCCTCAAGAGAAACCACATGGTCAGTAAGAGCCTGACACATCCAGCACAGCTGATGGAGAAAAAGCTAATGGACCCAAGGGTACGTTCTCAGGCCCCAAGGGTAACCCCACTGAGTCCTATCTATACATCCTTCCATCCATCCACCCATCCATCCATCCATCCATCCATCCATCTATCCATCCATCTATCCATCCATCCATCATCCATCTATCTTGTTTTTTTCAAGGCAGGGTTTCTGTGTAGCCCTGGATATCCTGGAACTCACTTTGGAGGCTAGGCTAGCCTCAAACTCATAGAGATCCACCTGCTCGGATTAAAGGTGTATGCCACCATGCCTGGCTGAGTCTTGATTATCTTGGCGGTAAAAGAAGAAAAGATTACTTTTTGGTCACCTGCATGGTCTCAAACACCTAACAGGAAGGTATAACTCAATTGTGAAGACAGCTTAGCAGGAAATAGCACTTCCCTTCAACCCTCGATTCCCGAGTTTAATCTGTGGGACCCGCATGGTAAAAGGAGAAAATCAATCCCACAAGTTGTCTTCCGACCTTCACATATGTTCTCTCTCTCACATAATAGAAAGTAAAGTTAATTGATAATATTAAGTATTCTACAAGTGCCCAACCAGGACTCTGACCTTGGCCTAGTGGAGCTGAAAGCCCCTAAGGCATTTCTGATTGTCATTTTCAGCCCACTGAAGTCTAGAGTTCTAGCAGGCCTGCGCCCTGCAAACACAGGCCCAAGCATGGCAAATATGGCACCAAAAGATTTTTACCCTTTTCCCCTCACTTGTTAAACTGTTAGATTACATTTCTAAAGCTAGCTACCAACGTCCGTTCCTTCTTTGGCCACTTTGCTAGGCCTGACTCATTCCTGAAACTGATTACCAAGGTTCAACTATCAAAACATTAAGGTCCAGCAATAAAAAGTCATTATTTTGACTAAACTAATTAAAATACCCGATCAGAACTAGTCAACACGTCCTAGCTCATTATAACACAGACCTTTTTCCCTCTTAAAATTAGCACTCGCAGAGCTATTTGCTGCTCTTTCTGCCTGCCTCAGATTCAGCCACCTTGTCTTTGGCCTTCGTTAATAAAGGATCTCTTTGTGTTTGGTTTGTGCTTGGAAACTGGTGTTTGGGAGTGGTCTGTGCCTAACCCGAGGTCCAGAGGGGCGCACCCACAACGCTCAGGCTCCTGTCAGTCTCCAGTGGCTGTCAGTCATCCGGGGCGTTACTAATTTGGCTCACCTGCCCTTCATAAAACCCCATTTTCTAGAAAGTGCTCATGCAGAGTCCTGCTCAGGGCAGAAAGCCAACAGAGAGCTTACATATCTTCTTAAAAAGGAACATAAGGGCCAAAGTCAGTATCTATGGACTCATGATCATAGCTCCTGGTTTTGGAGTTCCCTGGTAGGATGTGTTTGGATAATATCTATGCTCACCTATGCCTGAACCTCACCAAACAATTATTTTCTTTTAAGATGTTGCTAAACTAATAGCTCCGAGTGAACGGAATACATTTCTGCTCAGGATCTCTTCTGTTACCACTTGGAGGAACATCACCACAGCTTTGTCTGTCATTCTCATCTTTGGGCTCCAATCTACAGCCTCCTCTTCATTCTAATCTTCAAAATGTATTTGATAATTTTCAGGCTCAGGGACCCTCAGGGAATAACAGAGTACCTTGCACATATTCAATGTTCCTAGCTAAAACCATTTCCTATGCTGGTTCCCTTTGCCTTATGGGAATTTCCAGAAAACAAACAAACAAACAAACAAACAAACAAACAAACATCCCTTTTATGTCATAACAGCTTTTGATCCCTGTTCTCTTCCCTCATGGGTGTTCCTGCCCTCAGGTCCCTTTTTCTTGCAACTAGAATTTCCCAACCATTCCTTAGATGGATGTGGCCATGGTTGCCTCTCTATTCCTCTAATAATATATATTTCACTCTGCAATTTTGGTTCCTGCTTTCTTTAATGGCTACCCTGGTTTAGTTCTCCCAGAATTCAACAGATTCAGATTCAGGGGCTCATTCAATGAAGATATTGGTCCATCCCTCCTGGACCAGATCTCAAGGCATCATGCTCTGAGTGGATTAAACAAGATGAAATTTCTGTGAGACTTTCCAGACAACAAAATAAGCAGCTATTTATACCAACAAACTTCCATACTTTATCTAACTGCCTTGCTTACCAATAGAGACAGCAATGTCACTGGGTCCATAGATAGAGAGAAGTTACTGAAGAGACTTCCACTTTGCCCTCTTATAAAAATGTAAGGGTCCATATTGATTGAGGGAGGAAATGAAATCAGGTAGGCAGGGGGTTAGGCATGAAAAAAGAAACTGCAACTGTTTCTTGGAAGCTGTGGCTATTGATTGTCAAGATGTCCCTGGTGATTCAGCATCCTTGAAGCTACAGTTAGGTTCTTCCCACTATGCCAGAAACAAAGACTTCAGGGAATTTCCCAAGTGCCCCATACTCTAGTGGAGGTCAATGTCTTCAAAAGACCCCAGCTTCATTATAATACAATTCACATTGCAACTTCGTCCTCCTGCCTCCCCAGGACTTTTCAAGGGACTCACGGGAAGAAATACCTTAAAAGGATGAACAGTTTGCACTATAATTTGGGAAAGGAAAAGGTCATTTCATTCTTGTGAATATCCACTTATAAATATTTATATTAAAAAAAACTCCTAGAAGAATAGCAAATACACAGTCTCTTGCGGCTACCCCATTTCAGGTCAGCCCTCTCTAAGCACTTTGGCAAAGAGCATCACTTTGCTTTGCCCAACAAAGCAAAGTGTTAATGCTTCTCAGCTGAGTTCTTTCCTTTGAGAAGAAAAGAAACGAGGAACTCTCTAGTGTGTTCATGGAATCACCAGTCCAAAGGCCACCTCTGGATACTGTGTTTGAGGCTGAGCCATAAACACATGACAGTTTATGAGGGACGTTTCCTATTCAAGCAGCAACAGCTTCCAAAGCTCCCTTTCCCTCTTCTGTTCTACCCACCCCTTGCTCTCCTTTGAAGACATGGCTTTCCATCCAGCCCTGCTAAGCTATGACAATTTTGCCTCACGTTCCCTGTGAGAAGGAAGGGATCAGACTCTCAGCCCTTGCCCTTCAGTGCCATGCTGGCACCCGCTTTCCCTCCAGCCCTTAAGTTCTAACCCTGAAGTTCACTGTCATACGGAAAGACACCCTTCCATCCTTGTCGGGAGCGTCACTGACTCACAGCTTCCCAACACACTCCTCCAGTCACAATTCTCCTCCAGATTCAAGTGGGTCCCATGAGCACTGCGCCTTCTCAGTACCTCGCTCTCCTCTCGTCCAGTGGTCATGTCTCAAACCGAGCTGCCAATCCCATGTTCACACTTATGATTTCTGCTGGGAATTCAGTGGAGCTGGTGATAGCCCCGGAGGTCCCAGCCTGCTAGAAGAAATTACTCATCTCTAGATAATAACAGCCCCTGAACTAGCCCATCCAGACCCTCAGTTCCAGGCAGTTCGCTTTCTGTCCACGAGCTTCTAGCTCTCCACCTTACTCTCTTTAGCACCAATTCTCCAAACATCCTTCAGTCCCAGCTTCTGTTAAACTATCCACAGCTCATGGTTCTTCGCCTCCTTCTGCCCACACTGCCCTCAGCACCCCCCAAGTCCCTACCCGTCAGCATCTCAACTCATATCCTCAGACTGTCACCTGACTCCAGCTCTCCAACCACTCTGTCCCAGCACCCTAGAAGCTAGATGTAGAGGGGTAAAACACAGGGCTCCTCTGGCTAGTTCATAATGAAGCTCCTTGAAAGAAAATTCTGTATTTGCTGTCTTCATTTCACCTCTATTTCTTGGACTCCTTCACCAAAAGTTAGAGAGCACCACCATGTCACTAAAGCCAGTGGTGCATTTTCTGTGCCTCTGACACACAGTCCACCTTAGTGTATTTGTTTCCACTCGGCCTTCAATGGTCTCCATTAGCTTCTCTGTTCATTTTTGCCTTGTTGATTGGATTCAGGAATTAAATCTTCACTGTAACTCTGTGAGAAAACACTAGCCTTCCTTCTATTTAGAGTTGACTTACCCAGGTCAGAGAGACATGGCAACACGCCGGCTTATAAACGGTTAACCAGAGTCTGCTTGTCTTTCTCTGTCCACCTCTTCCCCCTTCCAGTCACTCACCACTTCATCCATCTGCTCCTCCAATCATGCTCTCTGTGACTCTCAACCTCCCCAATGCCTCTCCCACTATGCGCATCAGACTCTGCATCTGCTCACGCACCCACACATGCAGACATTTGTCCTCTTCTCATAAAGACTCGGCGGCCATGTCTCCTACAGGGGGAGAAACTGGGGAGACAACAGGAGGCAGACACTCTGGTATGCAACTTGGGTCTCCATATTTACTCAGATTTGGCCTGAGTGGCTCAGCAGAGAGGAGGGACAGGGGAGGGACACCCAGGGCATCCTTCAATCATGGTGACTTCTGGGAGGGCGCAGGTGTGGGCATCTTCATTGCCAGTCATGACTGATCAGCTGGAGCTGCAAAAGACACACACTTAGCACTTCCTCCTGTGGGCTAAGCAGCCACCCACCTCCTTCCCTGCTCCCCCAAAGTCTGGCTCCCTCTCTCCATCCTCACCATGAGGAGAAGTCCTGTGCTGTCCACTTCTCCACTGCAATCTTCTGGCCCTGAGAGTCTCGCACATCATTGATCTGTTCCCCGTCAAAGTTTCCACAGGCCCCGCACAGCTTGGCTGCATGGTTTTCACTGACCATCACGTCCAGGTGCCCATCTTTCCCAAGCCACACCTGGACCCCGGCATCCTGTCTGACAAGCATGGATCCATCGGGCAGCCTCCTCACAGACACAGATGTCAACACCTTAGCTGGGAGGTCCACTCGGAGACCGTTCACCTGGTGCGGGGGAGGGGAAGTGAAGAAGTGAGACTTGGGTGACAGAAGAGCTGAGGCCACCAAGGCCACAGTCCTCACGCACAAAAGCGGTTCAAGCAAAGGGGCGGGTGCCGGAAGAGATGGGCCCTGGAGAGGAGGGCTACACGGGAGGGACGGGCGGTGGGAAGACAGCTGGAGATGTGTGTCCACGCACAGCTCACTGCTCTGCTTATGCACGCTGCAATGCAGCTCCCAAATTAATTTACTAATATTTCCAGAATCTCTTTGTTTGGGATGTAAATTGCCAGGGGGTGGAGGATGGGTCAAGGGACCCTTATAATATTCCGAAGTCAGGGGGAAGTGCTCCTTGGATCTGCAGGTAAGTAAGCAATCGAGCAAATCGCTGCTCACTCTTAAGGTTCTAGTTTTCAGAGCGTGATAATGATTTAGCACATCCTGTTTGGCCCCTCTTTCCCCTTGCATTGTTTCTCCATATCCTCTCATTGTTATAGTTCTCAGTAATCAGAACAACTGTGTTCTGAGCTGTTGGAGGGGATCATGGAGCCTGGAAATAGACTTGGAGATCCCAACACTTTATGTGATGCCAGCTTGGCCGAGCATAGCATCCCACTCCCGAGACTGGCAGTAGGCAGGCAGCCCAAACTCCCTCAGTGATGCGCAGTTCTGGGACTTCTGTTGGGTCAGTGTCTGTTGAGGGCGTCATGGTGGGGTAGGTGGTTCTTCCCTTCATGAAAAGAAAATTGTCTGAGAGTGAGGTTGAGGGCTGGGCGGTGATGGCGCACGCCTTTGATCCCAGCACTCGGGAGGCGAGCGGAGGCAGGCAGATCTCTGTGAGTTCAAGGCCAGCCTGGTCTACAGAGCAAGTCCAGGGCTACACAGAGAAACCCTGTTTGGAAAAACAAAAACAAACAAGAGTGAAGTTGAAAGCCAGGCACAAGGACTCTCCTCTTTAATTCCAGCATTCATGAGGTAGAGACAGGTGGATTGTCTAAGTTCCAGACCAGTCTGATCTGACAGTGAGCTTCAGGACAGCCAATGTTATACAGATACATATGCAGATCCTGTTTCAAAACAAGACAAACAAAAACTGCATTGACTTCAGGGACAAGATTGAAACCTAAGGTGGAAACTCCCGACAGTATATCTGCGGTGTCTGAGTCCAGACACTTGGAGGACTCGTCTCTGGGTTTCTCAGATATGGAACCGGTCATTCACTTTACCCTAAGACCATTTGTATTTGGTTTCCTGGCACTGCTAACCAGTGGAGTCTTGATTAAAAGCAACAGCAAAGCTATCCTGTTACTTGAATGTAAAAACTCAGGCCAAGGAGAGGGACCCAGGCTGACATAGAGAGATGGGTACAAATCCAGAAAAAGTGCAGAGACCTGGATGAAGGAAACAGACTGCAGGACCACTGGGTAGCCAGGCTGTAGGACACCATGACAGGGAGAAGGAAAGCCCAGGGAAGTCGACCCTGCCCTCTGTGCCCGGGCTTACCCACACGCTGTTGCTTGAGGTCACAGTTATCATCCCATCCTGGAAGAAGATGTGGACCTCGCCCACAACCTTGTCATTGCCATGGCAAGGCTTGACATTAGCAACCACACGGTACCAGGGCACATCCATGTGGAGTCCCGGGCAGCGGGAAGAAAGCTCGTAGACCCCAGGGGAGCTGATGGCATTATGAGCTCCATCGAAGGTAGTGAGGTTGGCGCCCACAGAGAGGGAGCAGAGACCTTTGGCTGGCCAACAATCCCGGACTCCTGCTTGGATCTCACAGACGCGGCCAGATGTGCAGCCGGCTGCATAGCATGTCAGGCCGGTACTCGGGGAGCAGTAACAGCGCTCACTGCAGTCTGAGCTCATCAGTGAGGAGTTCACCTGTTCACAGAACGGGACAAATGCTGTACATCTGCACGGAGGGAGTGCACAGGAGTTCCCAGGAAGAAATGGCGTGCACCCCCTCTCCCCAGGAGTCTCAGTGGCCCCAGACTGTGATTTGTAAATAAAATACAGCAGAAGCCAGGCTGTGCGGGTTCATGTCTTGACTCAAGAGCCTCGACAAGTCCTCCTCACCACCTCTGCTTTAGCTTGTGCCCAGTTGTTTTTGACCCCAGCTCAGGCCACTTGCCTTGGCTTGAATAAGACTTGTTCTCCTGAACCATGCAGGACTTCGGTCCTTAAGGTTTTTTTTTTTAATATATATTTTATTTATTTATTATGTATACAATGTTCTATCTGCTTATATACTTGCACGCTAGAAGAAGACACTGGATCTTATTATAGATGGTTGTGAGCCACCATGTGGTTGCTGGGAATTGAACTCAGGACCTCTGGAAGAGCAGCCAGTGCTCTTAACCTCTGAGCCATCTCTCCAGCCCAGGTCCTTAAGGTTTTATGTGAATGTCTTGAAGAGGATGGAGACCTTGTCCATTGAGGAAGTGCTGGGAGCCAAAGCTATTTACTGAAGCCAAAGCCAAATAGTGAGCAAAGGTCACTTAGTGGAGACCTAAGCTATTTAATGAAAGAGTTATCTAGGACCCTAAGTCATGGGTGATAGATTTGTGAGGACATCCGTCTGTTAGTTTTAGAGCATCCATGAGATAGCTTAAGAAAACATCCTTACAGTATCTTGCAGGTGCAATATTCAACCCGTGAAAGCACTCTACCTATCTCCTGCAGCAGTAAATTAACCTTCCCCCTTTCCTGCCTTCTCCCTATATAAGTTGGGTAAAAATTTCTAATAAAAGAGGCTTTGATCAAACTACAGACTTGGCCTCCTTCTTCGCGTCTCTCTCTGTCCCACCATTCTTTTCACCCCCCTCAAGGACCCCATTGAACTCCTGCGGGTCGGGACAAGGAAGTTTAGCGTAGGGGCTCTGGATACGTGGGAAAGCAGGAATATCATAGACGCTCCCGCAAAACTAGTACTCGCCTACGCCACGAGTCATTACGGCAGCACGGAAATCTCGGACACAACGGTTCTTAGTGGGGCACAAAACCACCTGGCACCAAAGGAAAACAGGGATAGCATATGGCACAAGCACACCAGGCCGCAAGGAGGCTGGGTGAGCTCTGACTCGGTAGGAAATAACTATTTTCAAATGTCATTACAACATGGTTATTTTAGAAAACATGATTAGGGCTGGGTGTTGTGACACACACCTTTCATCCCAGCACCAGGGAGGCAGAGGCAGGGGTATCTCTCTGAGTTCAAGGCCACCTTGGTCTATATAGCAAGCTTCAGGACAATCAATACTACATAGTAAGACCCTATCTCAAAAACAAACAAATATATATATATATATATATTTGTTTGTTTTGTATTTTTATGCCAGAAATTGGACAGATGCAGGTTCAGAAGCCAGGGAGACAAAGCCATAAAGACAATACACATGACCAAGCTTTGTAAGGAAAGACTCAATCCTCCTTGGCAATGCTGAAAAGGGAAAGAACTAAGGATGAAATGGTGAGAGGGACCTTCTTACAGCCTTGACCTTAAGTAAGAAGTAGAACCCGGGTGGCCTTTGGAAGCTGACCACAGCGATAAAGTCTCTAGGATGGTGTATCCATGATGGGGTTCTTAGGGCTTTTTAAGGAGAGAGACTGTATGTTCACAGAGACATGGGGATATGACGTAGCCAACGGAGCCTCCCCAGAGCCTGCACCGCGTTCTTTGGACTTCCAGGGTCCAAAGCTGAGAGTTAAACAAATCTCCTTTACCCACCAAGCAGTCCTCCTTAGGTACTGCTTTACAGCAACAATAGGCTCTCGGCCTAAAGCAGCGCCCCTGGGCTGTCCCGTTGGGTGACAAATAAGCTCAGAGGACTGGAGGACTCCCACTCCAAACGGCAGCCACAGGATCAGAAACACAGAAGCCCTCATTGTTTAAATCGAGCACGATTTGTAGAGATTTACTAACGCATTAATCATATGACGACACTTGTTACTAGAACACACGTAAAACTTACGGGAGGGCTCATGGTGGGCCTGACAATGCCTTTCCCTGAACTGGGCGTCTCTTTCGCTCATGTTCTCTTGCTTTCCCAGACCTCAGACCTTTAATCCCCTTGCCCTGATCTCAGTCCTCAGGCCTAGTTATTGCTGTTCCCTCCCTGCAGATTTCATCAGATTTTATGAACAGAGAAGAGCGTCTTCCTCCTCAGGGGCTCTGGTTCAAAGAGTGTAACCATTACAGATGAAGTCAGCTGACAACAGCATTGAATAACTGGGAATTTTCTGCTCTGGTCATTGTCATCTGTCACATAATCGAGTTCCTATTCTCATGGAACCCAGAGTTAATGACTTCAGGATAAAGGAGCCACCATGTTCACAAGAAAGCCTCAAACAGAAGGTGGTGAAGTGAGCGTGGCCTCTTTGGATAAGCCTCAGGAAAAGGTACCCCTCCGTGTTTGCAACTGTTCTAAAGTTAGATTATTTAAAAGAACATAAAACTTTGAAACCTTTGCAAGAAAAAAACAAAACAGAAAAAAAAAAAAACCCAAACAAACCAAAAAACATCTGCAGTTATCACAACTGAGTCACCCCTTGGTCCAGAAGCCCCCTCGGATACTGGATTGGGGGATGCTAAATCCATTCTCTACAGCAGTATAGTTTGGCATGTAGCCCACCAGAACACAGACGCTATAGAACACTCAGTGTGGCACTATGGTGATAAGAAATCAGTTCTGCGCATGCTCAGGGTCTCGTCACTACCCCAGCATTTTGCATCCAGGGGGCGTTCGTTGACACGAGCGCCAGAGAGCTGAGGGTCCCCCTCGCATTGGGAGTGCTCCCACATTTGCATCTCTCTGTGGCCTGTCCTCCGGATGCCGGCTTTACAAACCCCAACGAGCTTCACAGTGCAGAGGCCAGGGATGAGCTGGGAAGGCGCAGGAAGAGTTGGGGGCAGGAGGGAAGGCGTGGAAATGAAATGCAGGCACAAGAATAGGGTCAGAACTGGGAGGCAGATGTGAAAGTCCAGAGGAGGCAGCAGACCTAACCTAGGGGATTCTGAATGGCTTCCAGAAGCAAGTGAGACCTGAAGGAAGGGCCAGAAATTCGGTTCCACTTGTAAACTGCACAAGTTAGCACTGCTTCCTAATGACTATAACCCTAACCCTAACCCCTAACCATAGCTTTGGGATGGCTTTTCTATTGCACAGCCTTCATTTATAATGGTCTCAGATTGCTGCAATCACAAGAGAAGTTAAGATTATCAAACAAACTTACATGCACAAAGCACCAACAAGAATCTTAACTACTAAACCCCAAGGCACACTGCTGAGTGACTGGTAGCTGAGCCATCCACCGCACTATCATAAACTCTATCCTTTTTGCCGAGTGTGATGCGGGGCAGGATGAGGCCTCCACTCGCTGGGTACCACTGCCCTGAGCACCAGGTGCCTATGGAGCCAGGATGCTGCCTCAGGCATTCTGCCGGTGAAGCTCGGAGCGGGAGGGTAGTGGAGGACCGGAGACGTGTGTCTGCACTGTGACTGAGGCTGTGTTGATGGAGACTGTCCTGGTCCTGAAGGTGGGATGTCCCCTGAGCACTCACAAGAGAACTACACGGGGAGAGGTCATGCCGCACAGAGAGGCCATGGCAGAGACTGGAGGGTGTGGCCAAGCCAAGAACTGGCCTAGGCCACCACGTGGTGGCTCGCCTGAGTCCTGGCCTCCAGAACCCTGGGGAGCTGAGAGTCTGGGGTGACCCGGCAGAGCAGCCACAGCTGGGAGCAGGGGGGCCCTGGGTCCCAGTCCTTGAACAGAAGCCCCTCCAGCTCCTCCACCCACGCTGCTGCTGCAGCCGCCACTCACCGGCATGTACTGGCCATTGTGGGTGCAGCCGCAGTCGCGGGCGGGAATGCACACGCCCTGGGAGAGCAGGAAGTGGTCGTCACACTCACAGCCTTCAAAGCAGCGAGTGGTGCAGCCAGTGAGGCCAGAAAGAGCCGCACAGGAGCCCTGGCAGGAGCGTGTGCACACAGAGTAGTGGCTGTGGGCAGGGCATGGCAGAGCTGCGGGGAGAGGAGGCAAGGTGGGTCAGAGCTGCTGCCGGGCGCTGCCTGTCCGAGTCTACTGAATCTCAAGCCTGGGGCGAGTGATTGCTGTAACTGGATGTAGTGCTCCCCCACCCCCGCCCCCGCCCCCCCAGAAAGCAACCCTGGCTGGTCTCCAGCTGCTGTATTGGACGACTGAGAGGCCTCTGACCTATTCAACGCGTTCATGTTTGCAGAGTACTGGGGGACTGCAAAGCCTTTGGTGGGAAAACCTGGTTGTCGTATGTAGTTCAAAAGGGTTCTCTCCTGCCCCAGGTTTTTCTTGCCTCTTTCTGATTCTTGGCCACTGTGAAACAAGCAGCTCTGTTCATTATGTTCTAGCTACCATGATCTGCCCCAGCACAGGCCTCACTAACAGGCAAGTCATCCCCATACCTGTCAGTCACAAACCAGAACAAAGCCGCCCTGTTTTTCAGAGGTCCAGGTATTTCTTAGGGCCATGAGGAAATTGTTAAGGAGACCTGAGGCCATTGCTGTGATGGTTCCTGGCTATGTGGCCTTCTGGGAGGTGTTTGGAGAAGTGGGCTAGCAAAACCTGGAACACTGTGAGTGGGCTTCCTGCCAGTTCTGGAGGGGGTTTGGAATGGAAGGCAGACAGCGTTCAGATGGAACAATGGAGAGGTGTGGGTGAAAACCAAAAGTCTTTTGGAAACTGGAGTATCAGCCATTGGTGTTACACCCTGCCAAGGAATTTGTCTATATTTCGTCTATGTCCAGAGAAGTTTATAGTTAATTGAACAGAGGACATATCTTGGCAGCACAGCATTCTGCTCAGAGCATGATGTTCCTGCTGGTTTCAGTCAGCTTTATAGTCAGTATCAAGAGCAGAATCAGAGCATAAATATTTGACAAACTTACAGGCTGGTCAGAAAAAGTCCATGTGTTTAGGGCTGAGAAAGGCATGGCTCCTAAAGGGGTCAGAGGAACTAGAAGAAAGCCAGGTCTGCTGCATGGATAGCAGGCACCATGATTTGAGGATTTCGTGGAATCCAGACCCGACTCTCCTAATCTGAAGGGGGAAAGGTTTTTGTCCCTTGAGGAAATAGAGCAACTGGGATGCTCTGCTCACACGGGACTGTTCCCACAGTTACTTTCACCATGCCCACTTGCCTAGGCACTCCACGACCACTGCAGACACGGCCAAGGGAGACAACTGCCTCAGCTGGTGACAGTGACGTCATCGAGTGGAGGTGAGTTTGTGAACGTATCGTGCAAGAGTTATGGGGCCAGTGGCTTCCACCAGATTTCAATACTATCCCCAAGGGGCTGGGCGGTGTGCAGCAGGGATAGGATCACTATTCAGAGCCTCTGAGAGGACGTGCCACAAGCTGGGAGAATGAAGTTGAGGATACCAGGGAGCTAGAGAGAGCGGGATGTGGAACAGGTGGAGGAAAGCAGCAGGCAAGAAGAGGGAGGGAGGGAGGGAGAAGGAGAGAGGGAGAGAGAGGGAGAGGAAGCAGGGAAAGAGGTGGGGGGAGGGAGAGAGCACAAAGCCTGCAGCTGGCAAGGCCTATAGACTAGGGACCCCCAAAGCTCCGTGGAGTTCATACCGTGCCAGTATTCCCCCTGCTGGATTCCTGTCTGACTTTGGTCCCTTCTCTCCCTTGTATGTGCCCAACCTTCCTTTCTGGTGTAAGAATGTGTAGCCTATTATACCATGCATGTTGGAAACATGTAATTGCATTTTTATGTTTGCAGAAGCTCACAGCCAAGGCTCTGCACCGAGTCTCGGAAAAGACTCTGGATATGGAAATTTAAGCAATCTGGGAACTATGAAGGCTTTGGGGACTCTGGGAGATGGACTGGACACAGTTTCCATGATGCAGATATGAGTCTCTTGGGATCAAGGGTGGAATGTAATGGTTTGGAGATGAACAGCTTTCCCCAAAGACGTATGCGTTTGGACTAGGTCTCCCTGGCAATTGACTCATCAACTGGTACTTGAGTCATGAATGCTCTGGCTTTATTCATGGCTAACCCACTGGTGGATATCACTGAGAGAATATGGATATTTTTAGAGACTGGGCTTGGTTGAGGAAAACAGGTCTGCTAGAATGTGCCTTTGAAGAATGCCTATTGCCTGCTGCCCACTTCCGTCTCTGCCTGCCTCTGTTGTTGCTATTTCTGTCTGCTTCCTAGTTTCAGTGAAGCATCACAGTCCTATCACAATCCTGCCCTACCTCAGGCCCAAGGCATTCAGTTATCTCGAACAGTCCATCCGACACCCTGGGCTGGCACAAATCCTCAAAAACTGTTTCTTTCAAGCATTTGCCACAGTATGAAACACCACACAATGTTGCAGAGTTCACAAGCACTAAGGCACCTGTGCTACAGACCCCACACCAACCTGGATAAACAGTGGCAGCTAAAGTGACCATGGTTCGTTGAGAAACTAGATAGAGGTTCGAAAGGGCTGGGGAGTCACAGGCAGAGGGTTTAGGCATGAACAGGTGAAAAACAGGCAAATCCGTGGGCTCTAGCTAAGTAATTCCAGGGTGGTGTGTATATCATCAAATGGGCACTGGGATAGAGAAGAAGAATCAGATTTGGGATGAAATGTTATATTCAGATGGATCACCAAAAAAATTACCCGAGGGCCAGAGATACACAGGCCTAGTTGTTGTATTATGGCATTAATATTTAGTCCTCAAGAGGAAGTTCAGAGTTGGAGACAGTGTGTACTGTTGTCACTGGGACAGCCGACATGTTATGGCATGGACGATGGCCATGTGTCAAGGTCTTGCTCTCAGAAGACTGAACAGAAATGGCTGTGTCATGAAACAAACATAAGTGGTCACAGCCTTATCGTGTAGAGTGTAGAGTCTGAGGGCACCTGTTCCCACCCTGTGGTTTGGAAGGGGGTGTGTGGCCTGCATTGGGGGTCTCTCGCCTGTGGC